TGGATCAGCGCGACCTGGGCAACGCAGCTGTTCCAACATCATTTCCCTTAGTAATGAGGATCTCTAATGTTCCTGTCTGTCCCCTAACTATCCTAAGAACCATCCTTTCCTTCAGTACTGAGGATCTCTATTGTCCCTGACTGTCCTCTAACCATCCTACTGGCAGCCGCCCCAGCCACACAATGCCTCAGTGCTTCTCCATCGACATACAGTTTTGCTAAGTAACTAAAGTTCTGGCAGACTGAAGTATTTGTTATAAATGCTACATGAGGAATATTCTATTTTTATGCTACCCCATTTCTGTTGCATCATTTGCTGTATGCTGTCACTCTCTCCCTTCTCCCTCTTTTTCTCCTTAAAGATCATTTTCCTCATGTAATTGTAAAGAAAACAGAGATTCTAAAAATGAACTAATTGAGCTTTAGTCAGCCTTGGCTAGTGTCTGCTCATGCTGTCTAAATTCATTTTTTTAACATTCTTCCCTAAGGTATTTTAGTCTCTTACTTTCTGCCTATACAGATGAAAAAAAATACAAGAAGAAAGAGAGAAAGGAAAAAAAGAAAAGTAAAGAAAAGAAGTATAAGCAGAGCTGCAGTGGGCTGGTACACTGAAGGGCAGTTGTGTCTCACAAGAATATTTCATCAGCTCAGTGTACAGAGACCAGGAAAAAGGCTTCTTTCTCTGCAGCTTTGAGACTGTTCAATTATTTTCCTTCCCTTATGAGCTCCTGGGTTTTAGAAAGAAAATGTGCACTTGTTCCTACCAAACCCAATCTAACTTGTCCTGTTTTCAAAGTGAACTTGTGTTGAAGGTGAAGTTTTCAATCTTGTAGCCATGCCTACATACAATGTCCTACTGTCTGGAGCTTCATGTGTATTACACAGTCAAATCTGGCCTTTTGGACTTCTTTCTGGACCCCACCTCCACCCACTGCCAGCTCCAGCCCCAGACTTACTTCCTCCCTCCTCTTGCAATTTGTAAGCATAATGAAAATTCCTAATCTACACTCAAATATGAAATCTGCAAGAGTCATAATCCCCATGGCTGGGGCGTTGTTCCAAGAAGCCTGATGCAGGCTGCCCAGCTGCAGCCATGCTTGCATGCTTCCACAGGAGTGCCACCTGAACCACATTAATCTGCTTAATTTCTTTTGTGTGTCCTTTCTTGTGTGGAAAGAGAGGGGCCTGGGTTTCTGCAAAAACTCTCAGAAATCCTTATACCTAGTGAGGAAGGAAAGCAACTACTAACCTCCAAGTGACAAATAAAGCATATATAATATATCAAGACAACCTAACTTTCTTTTAGTAAAAAACTGAATTCTCCTGTTAAAAAACAAGCAAGGGAGATGTATAAAACCGGTGGCACTTGGAGTGTGAAGGCAACTCAACCAGGAACTAAGATTGTGGCAAATATTTGCCTAGCCTAGGAATTCAAACTTGTGCTGCCTTGCTGGAGGTAGGTGGTAGACTCTCTACAATTATAGTTGATCCACTTCAAAGCTGGGTTTCTCTCTAGGGAGATTTTCAGAGGTCCCAGACCAGTAGGTTCCATTGCCATTGTGATATTATTCAAACCCTAGCTCCAGGGAGGGGGGTGGAAGAATCATATATGAGGATCCTGAGTGGACTTCAGAATCTGGATGAGGAACACAGCTAGATGTGTATTTAGCGCAGCTGCTGAGGCGAGAGCAGGTTTGCCAATGGTAACTCGGTGTTTAAGGCAAAATGCAGTCTATGAAAAATAAGTTACCAGATCTTTGCAACAGTAGCTTCGCATGGACTTATTTTGCTCCCATGTCCAGACAGGGTCGTCTATTGAATGAGGCTCTTTTATTTTGCATGGGGCAGGGGATTTGTGACCATGGTCCCCCCTTTTATTCCTCTCTCTATGGAAACCCAGATCATGGGGAGAAATATGCGAGGCTGAATAAAGAGAAGCCGCAGAAAGGAGCGCTTGAGAGCGGCATCTGTTACACTTGGGAAGTTAGACTGACAGGAGAGGGCGAAGGAAACCTCTCCAGTAGATTAGTTAGAACAGCAAGAAGATTTGACTATATGCAGATATTTTTAAAAAGGATGCATGCAAGAGAAGATTCTATCACAGCTGCTATAGGATGTGACTACACCTGAATTCAATATGCAGCATCTGTATTCATGTGAACAATTTGTAAAAATGAGAGAGGCAGAGAAAGATGATGACAAAGATTTTTGCTCCTGATAGAAGTGATTCTTAAAGTCTGTAAAACAAGACTGTGAAAAACCTGTTTTTGTATGTTGATGCCCCTTCCTTGCTACTCTCCTCACCCCCAACTTTAGAGCAAATGGTCTGAACCACTTTTGACCTGCTGTAAATCCCGGTATCCGGTATCAGAATGGGAGGCCATGAGCAAGATGAAGGTTGATTTTAAGAACTCAAACAAATCAGAATTGGAAAAGAGTCCCTTCTTCATGTGAAAGCCTTGTCAGTTGAAAATTATCTTAACTCCTTGAATGACCAAACTAAGATTAGCTCTTTCACCCAAATGCAGCTGTGAGCTAGGGGTGGGGAACTTACCAACAACTAAACATGGCAATGATCCTGATAATTTTTTGCACAGTTTATTCAATTTACTTCCCTCTGAACTCCAAGCTGACCCAACACAGACTGCCAAATGGATCCTTGAACAGACATTCTATTGGAACAACTAAAACTTTTATTTGTGTGATTTTAATACGTTCTTATTGCCTTCCAGAAGCAGAAGTTCATGCACAAATGAGTTTGCATTTTTGCAAAGGAAGATGCACACATTTGGCTGTTAGAAGAACTGACGTTCCTTGGCAAAAAATGAGAAGAGATACATACAGACAGAGAAAAAGACAGTGTGTACTTAAAAGAGGAGGGGAAGAAAGAGGGAGAGGGAGCGAGAAAGCTAAAGAGCTGGAGATCAGGAGCTAGGGACCAAGGGAGGGAGGGAGGGAGGGAGGGAGGGAGAGAGAGAGAGAGAGAGAGAGAGAGAGAGAGAGAGAGAGAGAGAGAGAGAGAAAGAGAGAGAAAATCAATTTCTAGGTTAAAATCAGATAAGCCCTTACAATAGGACATCAGCAAATGAAGCTACAATTTCAATGAGAAAAGGGGGAAGGGGGGAGATAGCAAATGATCCTCTCCACCAATAATTACTAAGTGTTTATCTTTTTTTAAGAGAAAAAATAGAAAGAAAGAACTAGATCTCCACCAGATGCCAGGTTTTCCTCTCTAATGAACACATTTACATTTACCAATATTAGTTCCTATTGCTCTGTGCCCTTCTAAGAAATCACTAATTTCACAGGAAATACATGCTTTTTAGTATATAAAGAATGGCAGAATAAGCTCACCTTGTTTTTACTTTTCTCATTTTCTTCAGATCTGTCTTCTTAGAGAAACTAATGCCTTAATGACTTTCTGGTAGCTGCAAGCCTTCTTTTATTTCTGCTAAATATATGAAAATGTATGCAAATTTAAATCAAGCTTAACCTAGGAGCTCTTGCAATATATTTAATGGAATTTCAAACCAATAAGCGAACTCTGATGCCGTCTTCTGTAAGTGCAAATATAATTATGCAGCTAGGTTACCTCCAAAATTATGCAATGAACGGTCATTTTTAAACTTCAGATTTCGTCTTGGATATTGGGTGTTGCCTTTTCTCAAATAGAGTAAATCTAAAATCTTTGCATTTCTCTCCAACTCTGCTTCCAAGCAACGATTTTGTTCGGGGCTGTGGAGCACATACACTTGTCCGTCACAAATTTATAAAAGCTTAAAAAGATAGGAGTCTTTCTTGTCTCTTTTTCTAATCAAAACGTAGAAAAAAAAAATAGTCCCGTTTTCCCAAGCTGAACGCAAATTTGAGCTGGATAGGAATTAGGCAGGAGGAGGTGAGCATATTAGCTGCCAAACTGCCTCACTTTCACTGAATATCTTGGGCACTGTAAATGATACACATTTTCTTAAGTTTAGCAGGGGAGCGGTGGGTAAATGTTTTAAACAAAAATTTCAAGAAGACGGCAAGAAGAAGAAGAGTAGTGAATAATTTCCTGTTTATCTACTGGGAGGGGGTCCGCTGAGTGCCTGGCGTGAGTGTGAATGAGGGCTGCCGGCTTCAGCAAACAGTGCTTTTTTATAGAAGTTGTGGGACTTCTGATAAGAACTGACATGGAGTAGTAATCAAGTTAGGCTTCCAAATGACCAACTGAATTGGGAAGCAAACTTCAAAATAACTAAATTTTGCCATAATCACATTAAATTTTACTTTCTTATAATACCTCAATTTTCGGAAGAAACTGGTCATCTCAGGTACTTTCAGTTCTTGTAGTCGTGTTTCTTATAAGTGATAACTGAGATAAATAAAGTAAACTGAAATATCTCTTAATGGATTCATGAATTCATTGATTTAGGCTCCTATAGAAGTCGTTGCTTTCCTCAAAGTTTGTAGCGGTATTTCGTTTTGCAATCCCCGGTAAACACTAAATCAGAATGCTAAGTGAGTCTGAAAAATCCTTATGTATTAAGATTAAAATGATATTTAGACTTGTTTACATTTCTCTTTCATTCTTTATGACAATCTAAATGAACTAAGCGGAGTTTTAAAAATCCCAGTTTGCCGCCTCAACTCCCCATACCCTCACACAAATACTTCCTCCCCTTTCCAACCACAAACACTCGCTTAATCTGACGGGAGGAGGGAAAGGGTTAACCAAAAGAGACACTGTGTGCTAGGCAGCCAATGGAACCCAAAGATTGATTCACTTCCTGCTTGGGTCTCGCTGAAACTCCAGAGCTTCGCCAGCCTAATTTGGAAAGCTAGATCGGCCTCCTGCGCCACCATTGGCTGTGTTCACGCCTGGCCAGGCCAAAACGCACTGCAATTGGCCATGGCCAGTGCCGGTAACCCGCCACTAGCGGCTCTGGCTCCCCCGCACCGTAGATGTCAAAGGCTGAAGCTGCTCCCTTTGCCACATTATAACTAGTAGGGGATCCTCACCGACCATGGCCACAGCTGCCTCGAATCCCTACAGCATTCTCAGTTCCAGCTCCCTAGTCCATGCGGACTCTGCGGGCATGCAGCAGGGGAGTCCTTTCCGCAATCCTCAAAAACTTCTCCAAAGTGAATACTTGCAGGGAGTTCCCAGCAATGGGCATCCCCTCGGGCATCATTGGGTGACCAGTCTGAGCGACGGGGGCCCTTGGTCCTCCACGCTAGCCACCAGCCCTCTGGACCAGCAGGACGTGAAGCCCGGACGTGAAGACCTGCAGTTGGGTTCGATCATCCATCACCGCTCGCCACACGTAGCCCACCACTCTCCGCACACTAACCACCCAAACGCCTGGGGGACGAGCCCAGCTCCAAACCCGTCCATCACGTCAAGCGGCCAACCCCTTAACGTGTATTCACAGCCCGGCTTCACCGTGAGCGGCATGCTGGAGCACGGGGGACTCACCCCACCGCCGGCAGCCGCCTCCACACAGAACCTGCATCCTGTGCTCCGTGAGCCCCCAGACCATGGCGAACTTGGTTCACACCACTGCCAGGACCACTCAGACGAGGAGACGCCAACCTCAGATGAGTTGGAACAGTTCGCCAAACAATTCAAACAAAGAAGAATCAAGTTGGGTTTCACGCAGGCCGACGTGGGGCTAGCGCTGGGCACACTGTATGGCAACGTGTTCTCGCAGACCACTATCTGCAGGTTTGAGGCCTTGCAACTGAGCTTCAAGAACATGTGCAAGCTGAAGCCCTTGCTGAACAAGTGGCTGGAAGAGGCGGATTCATCCACAGGGAGCCCGACCAGCATTGACAAGATCGCCGCCCAGGGCCGCAAGCGCAAGAAGCGAACCTCCATCGAGGTGAGTGTCAAGGGCGTACTGGAGACGCATTTCCTCAAGTGTCCCAAGCCTGCCGCGCAGGAGATCTCCTCGCTGGCAGACAGCCTCCAGTTGGAGAAAGAAGTGGTGCGTGTCTGGTTCTGTAATCGAAGACAAAAAGAAAAAAGAATGACTCCGCCAGGGGATCAGCAGCCGCATGAGGTTTATTCTCACACCGTGAAAACAGACACATCGTGCCACGATCTCTGACTGGAGGAAGAGAGGAGGCCAGCCGCACTGGGAGCAGAGCGGATTTCTTTCTCTTTTACCTCTTCTCTTCATTTTAATATTCTATATTATTGCTATAACTCTATATTATTGCTATAATTCTTTCTTTCTTTCTTTCCTTTTTCTTTTCTTTGAGGGGGTTCTAACTTATGCTAAGAAAACACACACACACACACACACACACACATTCAGGCTTCTCAACTCTGATACACAGTTATATTAAGCAGTTCAGGTGGGGACCTCAGGTTCCCTGCCACCCTGGCAATTTCCCTCCAAACCTTTTATGCTGATCAATACATATTGTTTACTCTGAGTAAGGTTTGTTTGATCACTCCACTCTAGGAAGAGCAAGGAGTTGGGGTAATGTGGGGGCGGGGTGGGGGTGGAAGGGGTGGGAAGACAGATGTGTGCCTCTGAATAACCTTTCAGCGCCTTGGTTATAGCAGCTGTATTTCAGGTGAAATCTGTTTTACAATAGACTAGTTTTGCATTTTTTAAAACTTCTATAGCATTTCTAAATGTCTGCGGTGTTTTACTACAAGCTGTACACAATATTTGTGAGATAATTTGTATCTAATCGACCACTCCACGTTATTATTGCTATTATTATTATTCTTTCATTGAGCTGATGGTTTTTTAATTGCTTAGAAAAGGGATGGGAGACTGGGAGGAGGCGGGAAAGAAATGCCTACCCACCCATCACTACCCCCACCCCAAAACTGTATGGAGAGGAGATGATACAATGGAGAGAGTTGCTGATAATGATATTGGTTATATTTTCCCCCAGGGGTGGATTGCCTAGGATGGGCAGAATGGGAAAGCTTAGTGGGTTTGCAAACTAGCGAGTCCCCGCAGACTTCCTCAGCATAGATCCCAGGAAAAGAGGTGGCCTGAAGTATGGGACGGGTTCTGCACCCACTGAGGTCCCGGTTGCTTGTGCATGGAGCTCCCCTCAGGCCGCTAGCGTAGCCGCGTTGATGGCCTGCGCGACCCGACTGGGGTTATCCATCCTTAGACGAAAGACTCAGCCTTCCCAAGCGATTGCTTTCGCTGGAGACCCAGAACCTGAGAGGAAAGCGAATGACTGGGCCAGTGCCTCCCAATTCAGTTCACCTCTAGTTCACCGCCGCTCTCAGTGTGAGAAACGCGAGATGGGTCATGAGAGAGTGACCCGAGCGGAACATTCTGTTAGGTATTGAACGACAATGAGATGGTTGGCAAAAGTCACTGGTCTAGCCGCGCACCCCTCCTCTGTTGTGTATATACTGCTGTCTCTGATGGGGCTCTGACAAGCACAGCTGGTGAAAGCCCATGGTGAAGATCGAGTGAGCTAGGTAGCGCCCGGGCGGCTGGGTTCCTGCTTATTATTATTATTATTTTTATCTCTCTGTGTGTATGTGTCTCTGTGCGTGTGTGTGTGGGTGTGTATGCATAACGTGTGTGTGTGTGTGTGTGTGTGTGTGTAGATAGCAGTGTGTATCGTATTACTGTATACGAAAAACAAAAACTACAAAAAAAAATTCTCTCTAGGCTGTGTAGAGATCCCAAAAATATGCATTTGCTGTGGCTTTATTGCTAGCTCTCAAGTCCACATGCCAGGTTCGCAGGTGCACTTCATTCCCAATGAGCACACAAGTCCCCTGCGGCCAAGCACCCAACACCCAGCCGCCGCTGGCCGGATCTGGTTGGGGACTCTGCACGCCGGGGCTGGTCGCTGGGCTCGACTTTCAGGCGCAGCAACCATAGACAAAGCTTCAAACTACCTATGGACCAGAAAGCCTTGGGCCCCTTGTTGAGGATGCACTAGTATGGGCTGCCAGGCCTCTGGTTCACCACACTGTGTCTCCCCCAGCTGCAGGTGGAAGAGCATGTATTCATTCAAATCCCGGACCCTTTTACTCTTTTTGTCAAGCCTCTGTATTCTGTTGATAGTTAGGTTTTAGTTCTGGGATTTTATTTTCCACATTGAGTTCATGTTTCACAAATTGTTTGGGGCTTTTTGTTTGCTTTGAGTTTTTTTTTTTTTTTTTTTTTTTCCTTTACAGTTAAAAGCTATGGTTCAAACCTGAGTTAACCCAAATATTTCTGCCGACTTTATAATTGTACAGTTTTGTATATTAAACGTTTTTGAAGTTATTAATTTAAGAAAGATCATTTAGTTTATTCATTTAGTAACTGATGTATAATAAACGCTATTTTCATTAAGAGTTGCTTTTTCAACTATTTTATTCAAATTGCCTATTGCAGTTGCCAACAATTATTTATTTTCAATAAAGTCTGCATTGTGTTTAAAAGGAAATTCTTTCAAAGATGAGTTGGGTGTCGAAAAGAAAACAATTCGCTGTAATGTTTGATGTGAACAGTTTTAGTCAAGGGGTTTATATTGACACAATATTTTATTGTTGTAAAGATTAAAAAGGTTTAAATAAAACATTTTTCCAAAAAAAAAAAATCACATCTGGTTTCTTCTCCTGGCCTTATTGTGTGCGGTGAGAAATGGAGCATTTAAACAGAGGCATGTTCCGGGTGAGCAGCGCATCTGCTTTACTTCAGGTTAGAAATCATTAGTCATTGTTTTGATTCTTGATTCTCTTCCTCTGACTTTTGGCCTTTCAGCTCAGCCCTGAAATGCACTAGTACACACAGGAGGCCTGTTCGTATGTATGCCTACACTCACTCTTCCCCTCCAAACACACACACACACACACACACACACACAAAACATGCATGGTGGGAAATGGTGTGAGGAAGGCTAGGGGTAGATTTTATTTCAGCAGATGTGATTTTATGATTTTATTAATGCTGTCTGAGAGTATCTCTCTCTCCACCAGTGTTTTCTACTAATCTGCCCCTTCTGAAATTGGACCCAGATCTTCCTGAGGCTACTATATTCCCTTGGTTCACCCATCCTTCCTCCTCCCCAACTAATACCAGGTGCACTTCTGGTAAGTGAGCCCCCATTCCTCTGATGAAGAATGGGAAGATTATTATATATATATGTAAGGGTAAATGATCTTTCCTTTGAAAGGCTCCTCCTGGGCCCCCAAATCCAAGTGAACTGTTTATTTTGCCTATTTAGACTAAATTCCAAACATCTCTATCTGTTTGGGGGAAGAAAAATACTAACTAGAGTCATTCTTAGTAAATATTGATTTATTATACTCTTCTTACCACTTCTACATACAATTTCACATGTATTATTTGATTTTATGAGTCCTTTCATAAAAATAGAGACTGTTATCTATAGTGGTGTCTGAAGAGTAATTTACCAAATATGAAGCACTTTTGTCTTAAGATTTTATATATATAGGCATGCTTTATTCAACTTTTTTGGTAGATGAATCAGAAGCAACAAATTGTACATTTAACTATAATTTTCCAGCAGTTAGACCCCCTCAATTCATAGTTTGAAGTTTTTTTTGTTATACAAAGCAAAATTATTTTATTAATTTTATAGTTACTAATTAACACATGTAATGTTTTGCATTTTTCATATTGCCTAATCATTTACAGCTGCATGGTGCACAATTCATATGTGTGTGATGTGTATAAAATATGCCAAATGTTTTGTGCATACTCATGAACAAATATATTTTATAAGTAATACTGATTTTAAAGATTTTTTATCTAAAAGCAGATAATTCATACTATCAATCCTGTTGGTTCCCTTTTGGTTTATACCAACTAACTTCCTCCTCATTCAATATTCTGTAAAAAAGTATGAATTGATTAAAAAATATACTTTTTCTTACTAAAGATCTTTATATAGAAACCAACATCCAGTGTATATTCTGAACTCCTTAATGAAGCCATATGCAAATATGTAGGAGATATTTATATAAATATGTATATCCATATACATCACTATGGATATTTTACTGATATGTATTACTGATACATATATTTTATACATATTTATCAAGCTTGTTTCCTTTACTGCCTCTATTATTTTTTTCCTAAAATATAACCAAGGCCTACTTGGTTTTTATAATATTCTTCTTAACCTCTTTGTACCATGAACATAAAATTTTATTAAAAGTCATGTTGTTGGCACTTCTATCTGGGGCATTTCTTGTCTTGAAGTTGCTACTACTCCAACTCCCAATCAAGGCCTCTGTAGGAAAAGTAGTTTTGTTTTTGGTTTCTTTAAAGCCTTCACAACAGTGGTACTCTCTCTTGAAATAAGAATTGGTAGATTCAAAAGGAACAATAATAGTTACTCATATCCATGGGAATTAAGCTAAAAACATTTCATTGCCACTACCACAATAGAGCAATAGAAAATGGAGAGGTAGTGGAGGGAGAAAGAATGCAAATAAGGTGAGGAAACACATACTACAGATGTGTAAAATGAAGTCCAATGTGTAAGTCAGGTACATATATATGTAGACAGAATTATGTTTTCTGTATACTTGGGGCTTTCTGCATGCATAACAATAGGGAAATGAGTTACAAAATTCCCGCATTTATTCTTCCAGCAATAAAATAAGAGAAATATTGTTCCTGGATATTGTTTTATATATATATATATATATATATATATATATATATATATATATATATATATATATATATATATATTTAAAAAGAAAAGGGTAGGGGGAACAATTGCCTAAATTTGTATATGCATGTTTGTCTTTAACAAAATCAAATATTATTCACTTGGAAGTATTTAGCATTTAGATATTTCCCTTGTACCTAAATCAGGCTGCTGTTGTTGCTTTAATAGTCTGTAGGCTATAAGTAAAATATAACTTTCAGTTTTTATTTATTTTTAGGAAGTGGGGAGGAGAAAGAAGAGAAAAGGAAAGAAGAAAATAGTTGGAGGTTAAAAAGCAGTTTCCAACGGAGAGTGGGGGGAGATGTACTTTTACACTTATCAGATCTTTTTAAAGACACACATGAAAACTCAGAATTGAGAAAATTATTTCTATGATTTTATACTTAAAATTTTAAACATGAATTTAAAAAAATAGTATTAAAGAAAAAGCCATGTAGATAAACATCATTTGAATTGATATCACCTACACTTGTCCATTCTCATATTTTTAAAAAGCAATATTCCAATTTACTCATTTACAGATGTTTTATTTTGAAGAATTAAAAAAGAATATAAAATACACCTGTAACCAATCAAGGTCTTTTATAAGATGAAATTAAAGTATCTGTTGTTAAGAACCCTTTTTGTGGAACATCTCTAAATTTAGGGTATTATTTAGATGAATACTGTTTCAAAAACAAAACCCAATTAATTTATCCTCTCCAGTAAGTAGGGGAGGAGAATCACATACAAAGACCTAAAGTAGTGTCCCTGTAAACTAAATACACAAAATCAAACCCTTATGCC